CTGGAAAATGATGTAATCCATACGTAGCCTCATGAATATGTATGCATGCCCAGGGACTATGAAAGGACGGCTTGTGTGGCAACTGGGGGACACACATTAGGAGGAGCTATCCCCCGTGTCTGCCGGCGCCGCAATAAAGAATACCTGCTTGTCAGCTTGAAAACTTTGGTGGTGAGTTTGTTCCTGGAGTTTTCTCTGAGATCACCTTGCACACGCAGAGCCGTGCAGTGCAGCAGCAGCGTCTCTCTGGCCTCCTGCTGCCGCTGCGGTGTTGTCGACCTGGTCTGCCCTCACCTGGGGACCCAGTGCCCAACATTCCTGACTCATGGCGGCACTGCTGGCTCTGCGGGTACTGGGGCAGAAGAAGGGCCCTGGCTGATGCTGCTCCTTGTGGAGTCGTGGTGGCTGCGGAGGTGACAGCCCTGGAGCAGGCACCTGCATCTCCTGGTGCCTGGGATGTCCCTGGTGGCTCCTCAACTGTTGGAGCTGGTTCTGCTGACACAAGTGCTTCACCCTCCTCTTTGTCCACCCACCCAGGCTGCAATGGCTTCCCTTGGGTACAGCAGCATTGAGGGAGACCGTGCCAAGAGCTGTGCTGAAGCTGAGGGAAACCACATCCACTCTTTGCCTCCTCACGCACAACTGCAGGCTCTCAGCTTGGCCAGGCAGCAGTTACCCTTCGGACGGCATTTAGGTGCCCAGAGGTGTCACCCAAGAGGACTCTGATGCTGGCACACGCCTCACCAAAGGCAGCTTGTACAGCCTGGGTTCCCCTGGGTTGCCCTTGGCACCTTTATCAAAGGTAACTGCAACATGTCCTTGTCCTCCCTCCCAAGAGACCTCTGCCAATCCAATGGCCTTTCACAAGGGGGATCCCAAAGGAATGCCGATCTTCCCCTGTAACTGCACTGCCGCGTCCTTCATTCCTCCCATCTTTCGTAGATTTTCGTTTCAAATAACCCTTTCAAATAACTTCTATCAGATGCCCTTTGTAATCTTCCTGCACTCAGAAACCTCCCCAGTTCCCTGGAAGACAATCTGGAAGACTTGACAAAAACTACACGGTGAGACATGGCTCATCAGGGTTTAATGAGTCCCATGGTGTATTTGGCTGAGTCCGTGAACCTCAGGGGCTGAGAGGAGACTGAGGAAACCTCTCAAGATGTCCAAGTCAGAAACAAAGCCCCAAGTCCCTTCAGCATTAATGGGCCCCACTGAGGGCTGTTGCTGACAAAGTCTCCCCAGGGACTCGTTAAAGCAAGTAACTGGAAGCTGTGATTACAGGGAAACAAAGGCAAAGTGCAGGTGTCTGATGGTGAGAAAACCCTTGGTTTGTTTGATGATGCAGAAAGGCCAAGTCCTGACCACAGCCCTTGGAGAAGCAGAGCCTGAAACCCTGAGAATGGAAGTTCTCCTCATAGGCCTTGATGAAAGAGGCAACTGCCATAGCCCAGGACACAGAGGCCTTTTGTTCTTTTGGGCCTTTCAGCCATGCCAGAACCCTGTCATCTCTGCTGCAGGCTGTCCTACACTGGCCCATGCCTGCACCTCTTTCCCTTCAGGCTGTTGACCCCCACCTTGCTTTCCCACCTAGCTCTCACCTGGCATTTCTGTACCTTCAGTCCCATCTCTGCACCCATCGCTGTCTGTTCCTTGAGACACAAAGCCATGGGCTGAGCCAGACTTCCTCTGGGTGACCTCTTGCACCACAAGTCCACCTTTTGAGAGACATTTCTTTCCTAACTTCGATTCTGAACCTTCCAGGCTGCACTTTGCAGAGGTTTCCTTCTCTTCCTGCTAGCAAGAAAACCTCCATCATCTCTGCAGCCACATTTCAAGTAGTTGTAGGCTGCTACTACAGTGTCAGTTCATCAGGTGGAGTGAATACCCCTCTGCAAGCTGATCTAAAGAGGCCTTCTAGAGGAATGGGTGATGCCATCAGTCTAGAGAACTAATCACCATGGGAGAGCAGTGGGAAAAGACAATGGTCTGGATTGAGAACTAATTGGGAAGACACAAAAGGGTGCAAGGTACCCCATGCTCTGCGGACAGGGCACCTCATCTGGGACAGCTTCCTGCTTGTAGCACCCTCTCTGCTGCACACACCCCACTCTCTGCCAGCACTCACAAGTGTCTCACAGAAGCTTTGCACCTCCCCTGCAGCAGCGACTTCTCACTGCAGGAGGTTCCTGCAATCCCCAGGCTCAGGGATGGATCCTGCATTCCAGGCAAGTTTGGGTAGTGCAGGAGAGGGAGACAGGAAGGTGGGCTCATGGGGCATGATGAGCAGCGTTCAGGCATCCCCAGCAGTGGGCATTCCCCATGTGCCACGCTGAGGCATGTTCCCATGAAGGAGAGTTCTCAGATAGCCTCTGGTTTGTCCAGAGCCGCCAGCCACACTCCAGGAACACCTACTCCTCCTCCACCTACAGGCACGAACTGCTCTCCATTGCTGGGCTCTGTCCTGCTTGTAAGGATTTGTTAAAGCCCTGAACCATCACCTTGCTTCTTGCTGACTTCCCTCCACTCTCTCTCACCTCCCTACACACTGCTCATTGCCACCAGTAACTAACTGAAGAGTTAAGAAGCTCTCAAGGCTTTCCTCAGGGGCTGACCATGTTTCTCTATTCACCATTGATGGATCCATTGAGTGCCAGGTGTGAGGTTCCTGCAGAGGCAGAGAAGCCCCTGGGCAGAGCCCTGCTGCTGGGAGAGGTGTGCAGGGCAGAGCTGAGCACACAGCCCATGGCATGGGCTCTGGGAGCACTGAGAGGGAGCAGAGCTGGGCGCAGAGCAGCAGCTCCTGGCAGGGACAGCTCCAGGCAGCAGAGATATGGATGGGCAGGGAATGGGTTGAAAGTGCAGCCCAGCCCTGGGGAGGGTGCGTTCAGGCAGCTCACTTGGGGTCTGGCACTGGAGGTGGCTGCTGGCCGTGCTCTGCTGCCCACAGCCCTTTGCTTCTCTCCATGAGAACTCTGTGATCTTCTCTTTGAAACCGTGCTGCCCTGCTTTCAGCACAGGACAGGTGTTTGTGGGGTTTCTTAAGATCAATTTGCGTGTGAAGGCATCATATACAAGTGTTGTAAGCACAGGGCAAATGGGAAAGGACTGATGGACGCTGCAGCCCTCCTTGCTCTGCACTAAGCTATAAGGAGCTGAGAACTTCTCCCTGTTTCAATATTGTTCTGATTTTATGTCATACAAAGAATGTTTTATAGTCCCGTCCCCCACCAAAAAGTGTTATGCCAGTAAATACATAGCACAGTCCAAATGACTCTAAGGCCATGCTGAGCCTCTCTTGTGCAGCCCAGACTCACTCAAGTCATGAGTACAAGTAGTGAACTTTACAATGAAGTTGGATTTCATCTGCCATCCCTTCTGAGCATCAGAGGTGGACAAAGCACTGCTTCAGAACAAAGCTGACTCCCATCCAACCTGGCCTTGACCACTGCCAGGGATGGGGCAGACACAGCTTCTCTGGGCACCCTGTGCCAGTGTCGCACCACTCTCAAAGGGAACAACTTCATCTGAATGTCCAAGCTGAATCTTCCTTTTTTCAGCTTAAAGCCATTCCCCCTTGTTCTGTCACTGCAGGCCCTTGCAAAAACCCCTCTCCACATTTCTTGTAGGCCCTGCTTAGATATGGAGAGATTGCTAAGATATCTCCCTGGAGCCTTCTCTTCTCCAGGTTGAACACCCACATCTCTCAGTCCGTTTCCATTGGAGACGTTCTCCAGCCCTTAGAGCATCTTTGTGACCTTTCCTAAGCCCATCATTGTAGGATCAGAAGTGAACAGAGGTTGGAAGGGACCCCAGGAGGTCTCAAGTCCAACCCATCATGAAGAGGGTAAGAGCAAGTGGTTCAAGGCTTGATTCAGGCTGAGTTGGAAATCCCCAAGGCCAGAGACTGCACAGCCTCTCTGGGTGACCTGATGCAGCACTTGCCTGAGCCGATGGGAGCAAGGTTTTCTTCTGTCCTGGCTGAACCTCTCCTCTGTCACTGTCCCCCACTGCCTTTTGTCCTCCCACCAGGCACCATGGTGAGGAGCCTTGCTCTGTATTCTCCATGTCCTCCTTGCCAGTACAGGCAGCCAGTCCCCAACAGCCTTCCCTTCCCAAGATCTCAGGTCACCATCAGCCTTCCCTTCTCCAGGCTGGAAAAGTCCAGCTCCCCCAGACTCTCCTCACAGGCACCGTGCTCCAGTATCTCCTGACCTGAGGGCCCATTACTAAACCCACTCTTGAACTGGGGATCTGAAACCTGGATGGAGGATTCCAGATCATCCCTTCCCTTGTTCTCCTACCGTGCTCCTGCTCATACAGCCCGCGATGCTGCTGTCCTCCCTTGCTGCCAGGGCACACGCTGCCTCCTGTCCAGCTCCTGCCCACCCAGACCTTTCCCATGGGCTGTTCTCAGCCAGGCAGCCCCAGCCTGGGCCATTGCAGAGCAGTCCCCTGCAGGGACCCCTGTGTCCCCTGCTCTCCTGCCCAGGACACCCTGAGAGCTCTGACCCCCCCCCCCCCCCCCCATGCCATCCCATCTCCCCACACCAGCACAACAGCCCCATTCATTGGGCTCCCCAAGAGCTCTTCCTGCTGCAGGCACAGAGCAGCCATCCCACAGCTGGAGCAGCCAGAAAGCTGCTTTCATTCCCCTTCATTCCTGCCATGTGAGAACGTATCACAGAGAAGAAGTTGCTGCAGGATCATTTATTTCCCTTAAATACAATCGGAGACCAGAGTGACACAAAGTGTGGGTAACACAACACGAGTGGCTACTTAATTAGGAGATGAAAACTGACATTTCTATGAAGACAACATCATCACAGATTGAAATAGGAAAACAAATGTAAAGCAGGAAAGACAGACATGGCCTGTCATGACCTACACTGGAAGCCCTTTCCAGGGTAAAGCTAGCAGCGTGTATCTGCTGAAACACATCTGGTCACCAGCTTCCTCACAGCATTCTTTAGCTCCTGGTTCCTCAGGCTGTAGATGAGGGGGTTCACTGCTGGAGGCACCACCGAGTACAGCACTGACACCACCAGATCCAGGGATGGGGAGGAGATGGAGGGGGGCTTCAGGTGGACAAGTGTGCCAGTGCTGAAAAGCAGGGAAAGCACAGCCAGGTGAGGGAGGCACGTGGAAAAGGCTTTGTGGCGTCCCTGCTCAGAGGGCATCCTCAGCACAGCCCTGAAGATCTGCACATAGGACCCCACAATAAAAACAAAACAGCCAACCACAATCAGGGCAGCAACCACAAGAAGCCCAACTTCCCTGAGGTAGGAGTGTGAATAGGAGAGCTTGAGGATCTGGGGGATTTCACAGAAGAACTGCTCCACAGCATTGCCTTGGCATAGGGGCAGTGAAAATGTATTGGCCGTGTGCAGCAGAGCAGTGAGAAAGCCAGTGCCCCAGGCAGCTGCTGCCATGTGGACACAAGCTCTGCTGCCCAGGAGGGTCCCATAGTGCAGGGGCTTGCAGATGGCCACGTAGCGGTCGTAGGACATGACAGTGAGGAGAAAATACTCTGCTGAAATGAAAAAGGCAAAGAAAAAGAGCTGTGCAACACAACCTGTGTAGGAGATGGCCCTGGTGTTCCAGAGGGAATTGGCCATGGATTTGGGGACAGTGGTGGAGATGTAGCCCAGGTCCAGCAGGGAGAGGTTGAGGAGGAAGAAGTACATGGGGGTGTGGAGGCGCTGGTCGCAGGCTGTGCTGGTGATGATGAGGCCGTTGCCCAGGAGCGCAGCCAGGGAGATGCCCAGGAAGAGCCAGAAGTGGCAGAGCTGCAGCTCCCGCGTGGCTGCGAATGGCAGGAGCAGGAACTGGGTGATGGAGCTGCCGTTGGACATCTGCTGCCTCTGGGCATGGGGCAGTGTCCGAGGAGAAAAAGGCAGTGACAGGTTAGGACAGGAGGGATGTCAGATACAGAAGTTCAGTTTACACACGACTGAGCACAGGAGAGGCTCAGTGTCATCTCCAGTGATGGCATTATACTGCTGGGCTTTCTTCATACATACAATCAGAAGAGCATTGCATCAGGCAAAAAGCCTCAGTTCTTTGCAGCTTAGTACATAGCCTAGAGAGCTTCAGTGTCCATCAATGCTTTCCCATTTGCCCTCTGCTTACACTTGCACTGCCTCTAAGATGCCTTCACACACATTGATCTTAAATGCCCAAGAAATATCTGTCCTGTGCTGAGACCAGGGGAGAACGGTTTCAAAGGACAGTCCACAGAGCTCTCACGCTGAGAAGCAAAGGGCTGTGGGCAGCAGAGCACGGCCAGCAGCCACCTCCAGTGCCAGACCCCAAGTGAGCTGCCTGAACGCACCCTCCCCAGGGCTGGGCTGCACTTTCCCCCCACTCCCTGCCCATCCATATCACTGCTGCCTGGAGCTGTCCCTGCCAGGAGCTGCTGCTCTGTGCCCAGCTCTGCTCCCTCTCAGTGCTCCCAGAGCCCATGCCATGGGCTGTGTGCTCAGCTCTGCCCTGCACACCCCTCCCGGCAGCAGGACTCTGCCCAGGGGCATCTTTGCCTGTGCAGGGGCTCAGGAGCAGCTCACACAAGCCCTCTCAAGACTCTTGATGCCTCCCCCAAAGCAGAGAAGAAAATTCCCAGCTCCCACTGCCCAACCTGCCCACCAAGAGGGAAAAACATCAAAGCTCAGCATCCTTCCTTAGCAGGTAAATGATGCCTCAGTGTCTTTCAGAGGGACCCTCTGAAGAAGTGCTCAGACTGACGGCAGATTGGAGCAGCGTCACCCACCCAGCACTTCCCTTCCCTGCCAGGGGTTTCTCCTTTCCCCTCAGCTCCCCCTGAGCTCCATGGGGAGCTCCCGGGCAGGCCGAGTGCTGACCCTGGCAGGCAGCAGAGTCCCTGCCCCTGCACACAGCCTTTGGGCTGCAGGGACCCTGCTGCAAGGACAGTGCTGGGCACCCCTGGCTGCACACCCACATTCACACCCTGCAGCCAGCCCCGGCACAAGGGACCTGCCTTGTCCTGTCCCTGCATGGTGCAGGGGAAGCCCTGCTCTGGAGCACATCCTCCTCCTTATCTACACAGAGAGAAACTGCAGCTGCATTGCCCTGCACCCAGTGCCTTACCACAAACAGGGCTGGGAAGGTTTCTCCTTCAGAAGGTTCCTCCTCCTCCTCCTCAGCATCCTCCACTGCCAAGTGCCTTTAAGCTCCCTGTGTCTCGCAGGTCTCCCCTCGGTCCCAGCTCAGCTGCAGAGGCCCAGCCCAAGGTGGCTCTGCCTCTGCCCCCCCGGGCTCCTTCCAGGGCTCCCTGGGGCTCCAGGGAAACACCATGGGAAACAGCCTGAAGCAAGCACTGATGGTCCCTCCCCTAGTTGCAGACACACTGCCTTCCTGCAGTGCCATTTCTCTGATGAGAGATGGAGTTTGTTCTGAACAACAAGATTTTGTAGAATCTTGGAATCATTTAGGTTGGAAAAGACCCTTAAGAACATTGTGTCCACCATTAAGCGAACACTGGCAAGACAACACATTGACCGTGTCCCTTAGAACATGTCTTTTATATACTTTCAGGGATGGTGACACAACCACTTCCTTGGGCAGCCTCTTTCTCGTCCCATCATCAGACAGGACAGCTAGGCCAGGAGAGGCTGAGATGTCCTTTACCCCTGCTGAAGAAAGGGATTCAGCCTGGTTGGTTGAGGCATCTCCTCCTGGGATTGTAGCCCTGGGGCTGGAAGGGGACTCAGCTCCCTCCCATGAACACCACAAACCCACACAAGGTCTCACTTCCTCACAAGGTGAAAATGTGCCATAATATACATGATGTCTTCATCAGAGGAGATTCCTTCATAGAGGTAGGGGAAGCAGCACCAGCAGTGTGGGAAGCACTACATGATGTCAAAGTTCCACCTGAGCAATGTCAGAAACCAAGCAGAAACCAGCAGATCAACGCTCACACCCAACTTGGTATTGGCCGCAAATTTACACATCCCAGCATGGAGCAGTACGGACCAGTTTGCACCAGTACAGACCAATATAGGCCACTATGGCCCCAGATACTGCTGGGGTTTCAGTATCCCAGTGCTCCCAGTGCCTGCTGCAGGTGCTCCAGCTCATCCCCCACCAGACCTCATGCCTGGGGCTCTTTTAGGGGGGACACCCCAAATTAGGCACCCCTACTCTGGGGTTGCCCCCCCCTCACCTCAGTTCCCTGATGCCACAATGGGTGGGGTATAGGCGTGCCCCATGGTGTGTGGTTTGGGGGCTACAAGGAGCATTTTGGGGCTGGTGTCTTTGGGGGGGGGGGGGGGGGGGGAGCAGCTCTTTTGGGGCATCTCCAGTTTGGGGCAGGGGTGGCACCAGTCCAGGCTTTTGGGTCCCCAGTTTCATTTGGCATGGCCTGTGGTGATGGTGGGGTGAGGTTCACTTTGAGGGTGCTACAGGCAGTGGTGCTGGTCTGCAGATACGAGGTGACCTAGGCAGAAGCGGGAAGGGAGCAAGGAACAACAGAACCTCTTTGGATAGGGGATGCCCTGCTTGCAATGACAGCAGTGACAAAGCCCCAGCCCCTGCCCACAGGGTTCCTGGGTTGGAAGCCCAGGACCCAGCATGACCATGTCACCTCAGCCAGCACAGAGCCTCTTCCCACATCGCTCCTCACATGCAACACAAACTGCAGTGGCCAAAAATCCAGGGCAAGAGCCAGGCCCAGCACTCACCTGCCAGCAAGCCCACAGCATCATGGGCTGCCACCTGGTTTGGGTTGAGAGGGACCTTAGAGCTCATCCACACCAACCCCTGCCCTGAGCAGGGACACCTTCCACCAGAGCAGCTTGCTGCAAGCCCCTGTGTGTAACCTGGCTTTGAACACTGCCAGCCATGGGGCAGACACAGCTTCTCTGGGCACCCTGTGTTGTGGTGTATCAAAGACAGACTCCAGTTCTGGCGAAATCTGAAGACATTTATTTTGGATCTGGTATCCCTTTTATAGTCTACTAAGTTCTCAGTAGTAACTTTCCACTCTGTTACTTCCTTGTCATCCCGATTCAGGGAAACTCCTGAGGGTTACAGATATTTAAATCCTTTGGTCTGTTTCTGAAAAGCACATCCTGCTTTATCTTGCAAACGGCCTGCTTTGTTTTGCTAACTGATCTTGATGCTTCATTGTTCTCTTTACCATTCCAAAGGCTCTTAAGCCCAACCAGGGCATTACCAGCTGGTGTTTTCTTTACTGTTCTCAAGGCTTAAGCCACACCAGGGTGATAATGCCTGGATCCATTTTTATTAACTATATCTAGCCCATCACCCACACTGAGCCACTGTCACACAACCCTCACAGGGAACAACTTCCTAAGATCACCTCTCAATCTCCCCTCTCTGTCATGTTAAAGCCCTTTGCCCTTGTCCCATCCCCACAGGCCCTTGTTCTCCCCGCAAGAAATGAGGGCAGATCCCAGAATCATGCCTCGGAAGCCACAGCTCTCCACTGCCGGCTCAGCCAGATCAACTCACATACCAAGTCCAAAGCAGCCACTCTGGGAAAGTCTCCTGAGGTGTTCTGGCAACTCCGACAGCACCCCAAGATCACCATCGCCACCCACCTCATTCCACGCTCCTGTGTCCACCGGAGTCACCGGCTCTGAGACACCAAGACGGGAACCACCAGAGGAGCTGCTCTTGCCTCCTCCACCGGTAGCTTGTGTTCCGTGGGGCAGCTGTCGTCTCCCGGTGCCTCTGCTGGAGGTTCTGTGGGGTTCTGTGACCTCACACACCTGAACACGGGGAGTTCCAGAATCAACCACCCCTGTGGTCTCCATGTCCCCAAGGTCATTGTGATGCATGAGCTCTGACTGGGTCCATGGGGTGCTCTGGAGGTGCTGCAGGCATTCTCTGGGATTCTCTAGGGGTATCCCCAGGATGCCCTGGGAGTGCACAGAGACACAGGGCCGTGGAGCAAGCTGCTCTAGTGGAAGCCTGTGGCTTTGGGGGTTGGAGCTGGGTGAGCTTAAAGGTCCCTTCCAGCCCAGCTAGTCCAATCTGGGATTCCACGATTCTCTGCTGGGCGAATGCCGGTCCCTCTCCACTTCTCGTAGGTGGCCGTGACGCCCTGTTCCATGGCCCACGTTGAGCTGTGACCCCTCGCATGCTCCACCTCCGGACCAAAGGCACTGAGGAAGAGCAGCCCGTGAGGGACCTCCCCGAGCCGGCTGGGCAGAGGCTGGTTCCCCTGCAGCAACTCCCGGAGCACCCCTGACTGCCCAGTGGCCATGGGCACGATGCTGCCGCCATCACAAACCCGTGGCGGTCGCTGTGGATTTGCCCATTGTGACGGGGGCCCCATGCTGAGCGTGGGCTATTTAAGGAGCGAGAGCCCTGCAGTAACCAGTGCAGAGGAGACCCCTCTCTTGGAAGGCTGCATCTCCCATGGCTGCTCTTTGCGTGCAGTTCCGTGTTCTTTGACTTTGCAATCTTGTTTTAGTGTTGGCTTGAAACATATTGTGGGTGCGTGCTGTGAAGGGAGGAGAAGCTGTCAGGAGATGAGATGGCGCCATCCCAGCTGTAGGAGCAGGGGAGGAGTGGGCAAGGCAAGGCAAGGCAAGGCAAGGCAAGACCAGGCCGGGCAGGGCAGGGCAGGGCATGGCAGGGCCAGGCAAGGCAAGGCAAGGCAAGATCAGGACGGGCAAGACAAGGCATGGCCAGTCAAGGCAAGGAAAGGCAAAAGCCAGAACAGGCAGGGCAGGGCAAGGCAAGGCAAGGCAAAGCAAGGGAAAGGCCAGAACGGGCATGGCGGGGCAGGGCAGAGCAGGGCAAGGCAAGTCAAGTCAAGACAGGACAGTTCAGGGCAAGGCAGGGAAAGGCAAGGCAAGGCAAGGCAAGGAAGGGCAAGGCAGGCAAGCCTGGGTAAGGCAGAACAAGGCAAGGCCATCACGGGCAAGGCAAATCCAGAAAGGGCAGGGCAAGACAAGGCAGGGCAAACCATGGGAAGGCAAGCAAGGACAGGACGGGCAAGGCAAGGTCAGTACAGGATAGGCAGGGCAGGGCAGTGCAAGGCAAAGCAAGGCCATGACAGGGACGGCAGGGCAGGGCAGGGCAAGGCAAGACAAGGCAAGACTATGTCAGGACGGGCATGGCATGGCTTTGCAAGGAAGGGCAAGGAAGGGCAAGGCAGGGCAGGGCAAGGCAAGGAAGGCAAGGCAAGGCCAGGCAGGGCAAGACAAGGCAGGGCAAGGCAAGACAAGGCAAGGCCAGGAGGGCAGGGCAGGGCAGGGCAAGGCAGGGCAAGGTAAGGCAAGGCAAGGAAAAGCAGGGCAAAGCAAGGCAAGGCAAAACAAGGCAGGGCAGGGCAAGGCAGGGCAAGGCAAGGAAATGAAAGGCAGGGCAATGCAGTGCAGGGAAAGGCAGGGCAAGGCAAGGGAAGGCAAGGCAAAGCAAGTCAAGGTAGGACAAGGCCAGGCAAGGTCAGGATGGGCAAAGAAAGGCAAGGCCAGGATGGGCAGGGAAGGACAGGGCAGGGCAGGGTAAGGCAGGGTAAGGCAAGGAAAGGCAAGGAAGGGCAAGGCAAGGCAAGTCAAGACAAGGCAGGGCAAAGCAAGGCAAGGCCCATCCAGGACAGGCAATGCAGGCAAGGTTAGGTCAGATAAGGCAAGGCAAGGCAAGCCCAGGCCAAGCATAGGCAGGTAAGGCCAGGCGAGGACATGCAAGTCCAGGCAAGGCCAGGTGAGGCTAGGGCAGGCAGGGCAGGCAAGGCCAGGGAAGTCCAGGCCAGCCCAGGCCAGGATAAGCCACACCAGGCAAGGCAAGGCAGGTCAGGCAAGGTAAGGCAAGCTAAGGCAAGGCAAGGCAAGGAAAGCAAAGGCAAAGCCAGGCAAGCCAGGCCAGGCCAGGCAAGGAAAAGCAAAGCAAGGCAAGGAAAGGCCAGGCCAGGCCAGGCCAGGGCAGGCAACACAAGGCAAGGCCAGTCAAAGCCAGGCCAGACCAGGGCAGGCAACACAAGGCAAGGCCAGTCAAAGCAAGGCAAGGGAAGGCAAAGCAAGACAAGGCCAGGCAGACAATGCCAGGCCAGTTCATACAAAAAAAGGCAAGGCCATGCCAGGCCAGACATGGCAAGGCCAGACCAGGCAAAGGCAATCAATGCACGGCCAGGGCAGGCCAGGAAATGCCAGGCAAGGCAAAGAAATGAAAGGCAAGGCCAACGAAGTGCAGGCCAGGCCAAAAAATGCAAGGCCGGGAAAGGCAAGGCCAGGCCAGGCAGGGCAAGGCAATGCAATGTAGGCAAGGCAAGGTAACGAAAGACAAGGCAAGGCAAGGCAAAACCAGGCCAGGCCAGGCCAGACAGGGCAAGGCCAGTCAAACCAAGGCAAGGCAATGTAAGGCAAACCAAGGTCAGGCCAGTCCAGAACAGTGCAGGCCATGCTAGCTATGCAATGGAAGGCCAGGCAAGGCAATGCCAGGGAAGGCAAGGACAGGCAAGGCAAGGCAAGGCAAGGCAAGGCAAGGCAAGGCCATTCCAGGCAAGTCAAAGCCATTCCAGGCAAGGCTAGGAAAAGAAAGGCAAGGCAAGGAAATAGAAGGCAAGGCAAGGCAACGCAAAACTAGTCCAGGCAAGGCACGGACAGGACAGGCAAGGACAGGCAAGGCAAGGCAATTCAAAGCAAGGCAAGCCTAGGCCAGTGAAGGACAGGCAAGGCAAGGGAAGCAAGGCAAGGCAAGGCAAAACAAGGCCAGGCCCGGCAAGGGCAAGCAAGGCCAGGCCAGGCCAGGCAAGGGCAGGCAACACCAGGACTGCCAAAACAAGGCCAGATAATGCAAGGGCAAGTCAGCACAGGCCAGGCAAGGAATGGTCAGGTAGGCCAGGCAAGGCATGCCCAGGCCAGGTCAGGCCAGGCCAAGCTAGTCCAGACCAGGCCAGGGCAGGGAAGGCAAGACAAGGCAAGGCAAGCAAAAGCAAGGCAAGCAAAGGCAAGGTTCTCAAAGCAAGGCAAGGGAAGGGAAGTCCAGGACAGGCAATGCAAGGCCTAGTAAAGCCAGGCAAAACCAGGCCAGGCAAGGCCAGGCCGGGCAAGGCCAGTCTAGTCCAGTCCAGGCCACGTCACACAAGGCCAGTCCAGGCCAGGCCAAGCAAGACA